CTATAAATATTATTTTATCAGTTAATTATTTATCCTTCGGCTAATTATTTATCCATTGGTTAATTATTTATCCTTATTCCATTCGGTCTTTTATTCATCCGCTCACGTGATTATCCTGATTTCTCGGGTTACAATGTAACCTCCTAATTTACTTTATTATGGCAATAGCACCTTCTTCTACATTTGCAAAGTTTAAAATCAATTTAAAATTGTTTAATTGGCTAAATTAATGATTTTCGAATCCATAATTCTGGCTGAAATTTTCTTAATTCTGGCCTAAAATTGGTTAAATTGAAAATTTCAGGTAAAATGTAACATCATATATATACAAAATAATCTCCAAACTAAATATGGAATCAAATGTTTTTTGTTTTTTGAGTTGGATCTTAGCTAAAAATTAGTGTATTAAAAATAAAAAATAATGCAAAAAACTTATAATTTGTCAATGATAGTGAATAATATAAGACTTTAAATTAAAAATAAAAAATATTTTAAAAAAATAAAATAATGTATGTATATTTTCAAATACATTTCAAATCCCTTAAAAAAATTTCTCTTTTTTATTTTATTTGTATAATTGTATCGTTATAGTTTTAATGGTTAAATAAACTATTCATTAATTTAAAGAACAATTAAATATTAAAAATATTTCTTTTTTACAATTAAATTACTAAAAATCTAATATTGAAGTATGATTGGACAGAAATAAATGAGTTAAAAATAACAAATAATTTGTAGTTTTATTAATAAAAATAATAATGCATTGTCCAAAAATAAGTATAGTAATGTTATGTACTTCTTGTTTTCTATAATAAATAAAATTTTGTCATTATTTCATATTGATTGCTATTTTGATATTTCGGCTAACTACACTATTATTTAAAAAAGTGTATTTAGCTGAAAATATTCAGCCAAAAATAGTTAGATGTTGAACCAATAAAATATTCTAAATCAACATGAATTTTTTTCGGCTGGGTGTTGTTAGCCAAAAATTTACTGCGCTTTCAGCTGAATTTTTCGGCTAACTACACCATTATTAAATTTTTCGCCTCCACCTAATAATATTCATTACCGGCATCACATCCCACCACGTTTTCACTGTTTATATTTATCTGAGGGACTTAGTTTTTTTTTTTGCCTCCCAAAATTATTTTTTTTCACAACCCCTTAAATGTCACCGGTCACATGGGAGGTGAAATTTTAATTATAAAATTGTTTTATTTTTATTTTTATTTTTAAATTCTGAAGTGATCAAGATTACAGAAAGGTAAACAAGAACTAATATATAAAAAAGCCAAACATTACCCAAACTAGCTGTAATCAAACCGCCCAAAGACCTGTCTCTTATACACATCTAGATGTGTATAAGAGACAGCCTTAAATGTCACCGGTCACATGGGAGGTGAAATTTTAATTATAAAATTGTTTTATTTTTATTTTTATTTTTAAATTCTGAAGTGATCAAGATTACAGAAAGGTAAACAAGAACTAATATATAAAAAAGCCAAACATTACCCAAACTAGCTGTAATCAAACCGCCCAAAGACAGTGCCACCAGGGTGCTACAAAACAAACCCATGGAGGTCCAACCGAAGCTTTTCCAACCATAATCAAACCAATAGCACCACGTGAAATCAAACAAATTTAATTCTCCTAATGGCTACATACTATGGATAACTAACCTATTTCAAAAAGACTTCAGGGAACTTTTTAGTGTCGTGCAGTCCAGCCAATGGGGAACTTTTTAGTGTCATGCAATCCCCAAGGGGACACCCACCTCATTACGAACAATCCCAATGGAGGACACCCACCTCATTGCGAACAATCCTTCGGCCTAAGATCTACCTAGATAAGTCAATCCAATGATAACCCAACATGTGACCACCTTGATCGGCATACTACAAAAACTGCGGTATCCAATCTGTCACCCCCCTTATCACCCGAGTGATCATCGATTTTAAAAATGTAACACCAAACCACCATGACGATCAAATTTTCCAGTATCCCCCCACCCCCCAAAGAAAATAAGGTTACACCGAAAAAAGCGACCAAGAAAAACAAAAAGCAAAAAATAAATACATAAACCTCAGGAAAACTCGAAGTGCAATGAGAAAAACCTGAGTAAAATTCACCAAACATACACCTCAACTCCGTCTCCTTATTTTAGAAGACTAACTCCCCAGTTAATAACATCAACTAGCAAGAAATACGTTGGTCAGGAGCTCCTTCCAAGAAATACTGGTCCGGCCTGCGAACCACTTGGCCAGTTAGACTTTAAAGGCGTATTAACCTATACGCACTACTTTTCAACCTTTCATAAAGCCCAGGGTAACTTTCGTATGGAACTGCCATCTTACAGTATTATTGGTAACTCCAAGACTCATGATAACGGTCCTAACTCAATATAAGCCGTAAGGAGTTCGGGCGAAACTAAAGACCTCGGTAATAACTTCATATAACATCGAAAAGTCCTTTTACTATCACTCAAGGCAAAAAATCCTCATATTTTTCATCCATAACTTCATGGAAAAAATGGGCAGAGCCCAACGGGAGAGAAAGTACGATGATCCTCTTTAATTATAAAATTGGTGGTGTTACTACGGTAAATAAACTATTTAGCCATGGTCACGTGATTTTAATTTCGTAATTTGGGCTAGCACTATAAAGTTTCAATATCAAACCGGGTTGAAAATCTGGTTGCATCCATTTTAAACGCAAACTGGTTTTCAGAATATGAATTCAGGTCAAACTGATTTTTAAACCGGTTGGTGCAATCAGTTCCAAACTCTACCATTACCTAATATGGAAAATTCCCTAAAATATGGCACTGATAACATCAAGTAGAGTTCTGAATGGGTCAGATCAGGTCAGGTAAATTTATAAACCTGACCTGAAATTTTTTTCAGGTCAGGTCAGGTCAGGTCATATCAGGTTATCTATTTGACCTGACCTGAACTGAAACCTGAAAATTTTCAGGATTTATATTAAAAATATCAAAAAAAATGGTGCAAACCATTTTTTTTTGAAATATTGCGATTCAGTTTTTTATATTAAAATCGTATAAAAAGGTGAATTGCAATACCGCAACTAACTTTTTAAATATAAAATCAATATAAAAAAGTGAATTCTGATATCGCAATTCACTTTTTATATATAAATTGATATAAAAAAAGTGAATTCCAATACCGCAATTCATTTTTTATATATAAATCGATATAAAAAAGTGAATTCCGATACCACAATTCATTTTTATATATAAAATCATATAAAAAAGTGAATTCTGATATCACAATTCACTTTTATTATATAAAATCAATATAAAAAAGTGAATCCCAATATCGCAATTAACTTTTATTATATAAAATCAATATAAAAAGTGAATTATAATACCATAACTCACTTATTATATAAAATCATAGTTTCAGATCAACAGGTCATTCAGGTTATACTGATGTTACAACCTGAACTGATGCTGAATTGCAATTGCTAAACCTGACCTGAAAAATTCAGGTCAACCTGTCAGGATTCCTGAATTTGATCAACCTGTTCGGAACTCTAACGTCAAGATTGGAATATCTGAAGTAGTTATTAATTTCTGGTATATTTTACATAATTGAAATATTCTTGGCTTTGTTAGTTCTTTCATTTTTTTAAAAAATTAAAAAAGATCCTTTTAAAAGTAGAAGCAAAAGTACAATAGAAACAGAAAAATATATGTCCATTTAAATAAATTTTGGCAAGAATGATTTTTTACATTGATTATTTCATTAACATTAATATATTATTAATCCATTGATTTATTGGATGAAATTAGTATCACTAGAATATATTATATTGTTTTAAACATTTAAGTAGTTTTAAATGAATATTTAAAGGTGATTTATTAATATATGTTAAATTATTGGCTAAAATAAATTTGTTGGTTAAAATAAATGTACAACTCGAAAGTACACATAATAATCTTGTTTCTCTTTATTACTACAAGTAAATAAGTAAATAAAAATTTTATTAGAGATGGTCATTCAAATAGATTTTAGTTATTCTTGAATTTACTTAAAAAAATTTCGCTAATTTTTAATTTAAGTACAACTATCACCTTAATTCTTTTGTAAAATTACATCTATCTAGTGACAACAATAGATTTGTTAAAATAATAAAATTTTTATTAGAATCGGCTTTTTTGTAATTTACAGAAAATCTGACTGAATATCTACCATTATAACCTTAAAAAATCTTTTTCTTTATGTAAATTACTTATATTTTTGCTGTTAATATTATAACTCTCATGATCAAAAATTTTCACAGTTCTCTCCGTACTACTAGATATTGAGATTGCCGTTTGGGACATGTTTAAACAGTTCAGTATTCATATCAATTTTCATTTACACATTCAGACTGATTATAGGTTAACTCAAGTTTTATGCTTTTACTTTATATGAGTGAGGCAATTATAATAACATAAATCCAACTTCAATATATACAAATATAATTTAGTAATTTCCTCCAAAATAGATTATTTTTCATAATTGTTAATAACAATACAGCCTAACTTTGCCAAAAATTTTGAAGACATTAATTTAATATGCTGTTAATAAAATTATCTGTCATATTGCTTTAATTTTAAATTAATGTAGCCCTTTCCTATTACTATGAAATTGTAACAAATAAACTTCCCTTTTAAATTTTCTCTGAACTTCTAAAGTAAAATCAACTTTTAAGCTAATTCTAAACTTCTAAACTCATTAGTTTAGAAAGGAAACAAATAGAAAATCCATTGCCATTGTGAAAGTTCATTATGACTAATAATATGATGAGCTGACTGAGCAGTTATAATTATTAATAATTTTATAGCAATTATTTCTCAATGTGATTGTTTAAATGATGAGTTTATGTTATTATGACACAATTTATCAGTATAATTGCTCTTCATCTTTCCATTTTTTTCTTCTTTTTTTCCTGAAAAAAAGTTTTCATTCCTTTTATTTCCTAAAAAAAGAAAAATGACAGAATTAAATGATGATGTTCTATTCTACATTTTTCAAGATTTATATTACTTAATTACTACTTCTAATTCAAATAATGAAAAGAAATATGAAAAATCTCTATATTTTTGTTTGTTTGTTAACAAACATTGGTGTAAAATTATGGTTCCAATTTTATGGAGTTATCCTTATAAACATGTTTATAAAAAAGAATCATTATTAAATATCATCATTTCTCATTTATCAGATAATTCAATTAAATTTTTGAAAGATGAAAGTATCATTGAAGCAAATTTTCAGAAGCAAAAACTTTCATTTAACTATGTTAAATTTTGCCGATATCTTGATGATATTCATAAAATTTTTCCAATAAGATCAAGTTTATTGGAAGAAGAAATTTATAAGCTTTTCATTAGTGAATGTTCATCCATAAAATCTTTGAGTTCAGAAATGGTATATTATCCAATATATAAATATCTGGGATCAAATATTTCTCTTTCAAATCTATCTGAGTTATGTTTAGTTTCAAGATCAAATTATAATGACTTTTATCATGAATTGGCACAAATATGCAGATCAATAGAAAAAATTTATATAGACCTTAGATGTGATCTTCCTGAAATTACTGAATTAATTGAAATGCAAAAACAGATTAAATACATATATGTAAAGGAATATGGTAATTGTGAGAAAATAAATCAAGCTTTAGAAAAACATGCAAATTCAATTGTTCTTTTAAATTTAACAATATATACAAAAAATGGATCCTTTCTATATGATTTACTCCTTCCAAAAGTAATTAATTTACAATATTTAAGGATAAATAATATGGAATCAGAATGTATACTAGAGCATGTAATATATTTAAGTTATCACAACCTTCAAATACTTGATTTGGTAACAGTATCACTTGATATAGCAATAAATATTATTCAAAATACCAATGGAAATCTATGGAAAATTAAAATTAGACGGTCTGATTATGATCATATAAAAGAATATGATCAAACAATTCACCAATATTGCCCAAATATAAAATATGTTTCATTATTTATAACTGATGATGAAACCCTGAAAGAACTAGAGAACATTTTCATCAAATGCCAACATTTGGTAGCAATAGATATACTTAATAGAATTAGTCATGAATATGTGAATAAATTGCTGAATTTATTTGTTGATTCAGCTCCACTTACTTTATACAAATTTCACATTGATTTTATTACTACTGATTTTGATAGAGAATCTTTAAAATTATTTTTTACTAATTGGAATCGTAAAGGTAGAAAAACTTTACATTTATATCATATTTGTAATTCCTGGCATGGAAAATTTGTAGTGAAAGATATTATAGAACTAGATTACTATGATGACGATTTTTGGAATCATAGAATTACAATGTTAAATGATGAAAAAAATGATTGAATATAAATTTTATTATTACTAGTATGAAGTTTTTTAAATATAATTGATATAATTTATATTCCAAAGTATAACAGATAATGTATTGTGTGCATAAAATTAAAATTGGGCTATCAAAACTTTTATCATAATAAAAAGAAAATTAAAATCAAACTTATGATAGTTTTATACTTTTAAGATTCAGTTAATATTATCCTATATAACAAATGAGTTTAAAACAAAAAGTTTCAGAATTAATAAAATCAACAACTTTTTAAAATATAATGTACCAGAATACAGTCTTATAAACCTATTAATCATCATTCTTATGATAAATATATGTCAAAACTTAAAAAGTAACATAAAAATATTTTTTGCCCCATTTATTAATAGATCATAAAAAAATATCTCTTAGAAATTCCAATTTTTTTTTATCTGATTTGTAAATAGAGTAAGTATTCTGCTTCTTTAAGAATTATAGTTTGAGAAGTAACGTACTACTTACTACGATAGAATAAATATACTGCGGTATATGTCAGAGCTACACATCCATGTGATATTTAACGATATGCTTCAACATGTTGCAATTGTCGCATTACTCATTTAATCACAAATGTTGTATTTAGTGCTTTACTAGTTTATATTACCAAAAACCGTTACCCAACATGGAAAATTCCCTAAAATATGGCACTGATAACGTCAAGATTGGAATATCTGAAGTAGTTATTAATTTCTGGTATGTTTCACATAATTGAAATATTCTTGGCATTATTAGTCCATTCATTTCTTTTAAAAAAATGACTCTTTTAAACAAAAGTACAATTTAGATAGCAAAAATATGTATAATTTTTTAAAATGGTGGTTATTCAAATAGATTTTTTGTAAAATGCGAAAATTGACTTCTTATGGCTATCATTTACATTGATGTTGATATTAATACATCGATTTAATTAGACGAAATTATCACTAGAATATATTGTTATAAATGGTTTAAGTAGTTTTAAATAAATATTTGGAAATTAATATATATTAAGTTATTAGATAAAATAAAATTTTAAAAACTATGCTGATAATTATTGTTTTTCGATTTCTCATGCCTTCTTAAGCCCTGTATCTCTACCTTTGGTCGATAATGACCTACCTACAGAACTTGAAATCTCTTCTTCTCCGATTCAAACAGTCTTACCTTATTGTCCAGTATAGCAAGAATTTGATAGATTTAACAAATGTACTACTCGAAAATACACCTCTCTATTTTCTATAAATAAAAATTTTATTAGAGATGGTTATTCAAATAGATTTTTGGTTATTCTTGAATTAACTTAAAAAAAATTTCTTCAATTTTTAATAAAAGTACTACTATCATCTTAATAAAAGTTGTTTTTTTTTTTTGCAATATTACATCTACTAGTAACAACAAAATATTTATGTATTATTAGTTAAGAATTTCTTATTGAAACGTTTATTAAAACAAATAAGATTTTTTTTATTAAATCGGGTTTTACGTATTTTGCAGAAATTTTAACTGATTAACTATCATTATCGTTATAACCTTAGATAATCTTCTTCCTCATATAAATTACGTATATTTTTGCCGTCAACATTATACTTTCGTCCTTATTTTTAAAAGGATCTCAAAAAAGCTGTATTTAAATGTATAAAAAAGGAAATTATTTTAAGTAGATAAAGATAATATGGAATGTCATTTGGATCAGCAACTGTTAATACAATTAGCTCCTAAAGCAATTACAATAAGTAATGTCACGCGCATACCTTATCATCTTTCGCATGTACTGTATATAATATAAGCACCTAAATACTGATATGATAAAAATTTCACTTTAGACATTGCATCACCTAGAGTTACTTGGTGAGATATATATACAAGATTTTACAGCGGCTGGATTTTATGTATAAAAGTAACACCATATCTCCAATTTCCACATCCTCTACTTGAAGAAAGGTTCACTCACATGTTGTTATGGATCTAGATATGGAGAAGCTTATCAAATATTTGCGGAAACGAAATCTAATGTTCAAGGATTCAAAATCTTGCGGAAAGAAGAGATTACAAATCTTGCCTTTCTTTGAATTAATTAAAGAAAAATTTTGATGTATGGATTTTGCATTTGGTTCAGCAACAACTCTTGCGAATTTCAATTTTTCTTTAAAAAAGGTTATATTTAATGCATTATATATGAATTTTAATATAACGATCTCAAACAAAAATTGAGCTATTAGATATTATGTAAAAACAAGGTTAATGTGAAGATATTACGAATATTAAGCAATTTACTCCACATCATAGCTTTGCTACTTCCAGCCGTCAGATGAATTTCAATCATCATTATAACTTACTTTCCCATAGTGTTCAAGGAAACAAATAGTAACAACAAAACTTTCAATCATTGTATGGATGATATAATCCTGAAGTTATCGAATATGGAAACGATGATGAAGCAACACGATGTGAAATTATTTCAGCAATCCTACATGCATTAATCGATGTTGCCAAAACTGTTCACTTAAAATATCTTGTAGTATTATAAATATATAAGAATGTTTCCAATGAAAAACCAATGGGGTGAATTATCTTCGCAATCAAGAGTTTGGAGGATCTTCTTGCATTACTGAAAGAAAGCCGCTGAATATATATTAAGATTTGGTATGCTCAGAATAATGTATAAAAGTATGCCGTATAATGCATTCATCCATTTATACCAGTATGGTTAAAGCAAAAGAATAAGAAGTAACAATGGCCACACGATGGAGGGTATTGGGCGGATTACAGTGGCAACTTTTAGGATTTATCACACATAATTGGAGAACTGAAAACATTTAATACAGACGTCGCATTCAAAATACAATTAAAATTTTTAAATGTGAAAGCCTCAATAATATCCTCGATCACTACTGAAAACAACTTGGCGTCACAATATTATTTATAGAACAAAAACAGGAAAAAGTGTTGAGGCATTACCTTTCATTCCCGAGCAATCTTGTCATTACACATAGCAGATATTCTTTTGAACGGGATGCCATTGAAGAATAGTACATATGGATACAGAATTATTCTAATGACCCTATAATAAGACAACAACTCGACAACTACACTATGTCAACATCATCTTCGATTCTCTATTTTATGTTATCTTTATTTCTTGTTTGATCTAGCCAGAACTAAAAAAATAAAAAATATCGAATTAGATGTTTAGATACATCAAAGAAGCGCTACGAGCCAGATCTTCCAGTTCACATTTTACTTGTGTAATTAATTGGTATTGGTACGGAATCATTTGAATAACTGACACAAGACTGACAACAAAATATTTACAAGTCAAAATTCTGACAAATCATTATACCAACAAGTTGATTATCCTAGCAATTTTATAAAATTTACCACATTTAAACTAAAATATTACATATTGCAACAAATTATTTTATTAGAACACACATCATTAGATTTACAAAATTGTCGATATATGACTTGTCGGATTTTGTGTTAGTCGTGCAAGTGACTGTCGAGATTTTGATCGGATACCAATTAATTTAATCAGGCCAAAAGGTCATTTAATTTTATCATTCTATTACAAATAAGGGTCATTTAATCTTATCATTTTATTACAAATAAATCAGACAAAAATTGTCATTTATTTCATTATTAATAAATTAGACCAAAAAGTCATTTTCCCGATAATCAATTTCATGAATCGGACTAAAAGGGCCATTTTCCCGATAATTGATTTTATCATTTTAGTCGGTCAGAACACTGGATTTGCAGGAAAATCATACTTTTTACCTTTCACATGAAAATGTCATTATGATTAACTAGTGGTTAATTAATATCCACAGTTGTATAATTGTAATTCGCGATTGAGATATGTCTGACGATCAATTTTGAATAGCGTAGCAAAAGATGTCAACCACAAGAATAACTAATCTTATGCATTTATCTTTTTTTGTTCTTTGTATTTATCAAAAAAAATAACTCATACAATAATTATTAAACAGAAAAATACATTTTTGTAATATATAAGTGTATCGTTTGCTATTTTTCTATAAAAAGGGTAACTTTTCAGCAATTTTCACTCGGATAATTACTAAACCGTTGATAATAACAAAAAAATGATTAAAATCAAAATATTGTTTGTATTCACCTTGTTGATTATGATCTCATTGATCGAGGCAGTTCCAAACCAACTCGTTAAAAGAACCACTGAATTCGGACAATGTGATGGCAGAATAAAGCCCCTCGATGTAACGACTTATCCATCTGACTTTGTTCCTAATAATGAGCTTGCTCTTAATATTAAAGGAGACTTTGGAACTGAACTTACCGAAAAAGCTAAATTGTTTATTACGGTAAGTTACTCCGATTGGACGTATGACTACGGATTTAACGGCAATATTTGCAGTATTATTAAATGTCCGGCTCCTGCAAACTTTGAAATACAAACGGCAGTCCTTTTAAAGGATCTTCCTTCAGGCTATTTATTCTCAGTAGCAATTTTCACAGATTATGATAAGAGTCATAATCGTCCTCAAGCCTGTGCAGTGGCTAGAGAGAAATAATAGAAATGCTTTATTCGCAGATTCTAATGTTTTCTTCTAATAAATGTTTTATATGCTCCTTTTCTTTTCTACCTGGCGAGAATTTAAGAAATATATACTAAAATAATTTTTATTTTTTATTTTTATATTTAAAATATTTGATAATATTTAATAATTTTTTATTTAATTTTTATACGCAATTTTAATACACGATTAATAAATATATTACAATTCTTTAATAATGGAAGTTTGTTATTTAAAAGTATAATAATCCAACTTATCCAATATTTTAATCTTTATTTTTAAAAAAAATTGAGAAAGTATTAATATTTTACCTAATAAAAATTTTGTGGAGCGTATAAATTAAATTTTTACAAAATAAATAAATTTTAAAAGTATACCATTTTCTTTTTTTTTTTTGTTTATTAAAATGAATGAAACCCTGTAGTGAAACCTATTCAGTGTGATGTTAAATATTGCACTTATTTAATTTATCAATTTATTTACGTCTATCATTCACATGTTTTTGCATATCATATTATCATTTTTTTTTCGTTATCATTTCTTTAATAAAATAAATGTCATATGTGCAATAAGTAAAGTTGATCATCTAGTTCTACTCTAAAAATTCTAAAAAGGATTTATTAAATAAAGATTTTAAATAGGAAGTGCAACATAAATATTGTAGCGATCGATTGATCACGTGACCAAAATTCAACTTAATCACGAGATGACGATCAATGTTTCGAATGTTTCGAATGTTTCAAATGTTTGATGTGTTAAATATGTCAAACATGTCCAATATGTCAAACATAGTAAATATGTATTATATATTAGATATAATTAATTAGAGTAAAATAATTATAAATAGTGAAGCATTTGTAGCAGAACGAAAGTATTAAAGTTCAATGGAGTTTTCTAATAAAAAAGTGATTTTTGTTTAATTCTTTATTCGTGTTGGGAGTATAATTATGCCGACGTAAAGTGCTATACCACACGTCTGATTGGATTGTTTATTAAGTATTTTTACATATAGTTTATTTATTGATTGTACACACATATCTAAATACCTTCTGCTTACCCTTCTCCTTTTGTTTACGTTTGTAAACGATAAAGAAGTAAAGAACTGGCTTAACAATATTGTTTATCGTGTCATTGTGTAATTTGCCGATCATTTGTTGATCATTATCAAATTTAACCCTCATATCAAATAATTCGATTATAGATTTTTTTGTACCGAAATGTTGATCATATCCTGGAATGCATTAGATCATTGACAATCATTTGTTAAAATGAAAATTTATGGATTAGATTTTGCATTTAATCTAACCACAAATTTGGATGAAAAAGTCTCAACTAATTTTATATAATGTTAGTTAGTATTGCGAAGCTAACGTTTTTTGCCATTTTTGTTTTACCCTTTTCTCTTTTTTATTTTTGATCTACCTTTTTTTCTTTCATAAAAATATATAATTAATAATTTAATTTTTTATTAATAATCTATATAATTAATATAAATTAATTTGAATTGGCTGATTCGTATTTTTTATGGTTAAGACCCGATTGATTGGCAAGTCATGTTGCACATTTAATTAATCGGAATTTTTTTTTTTCAAATATTTATTTTTTTTTTTCAATTTCTTTGGTTTTTTCTTTTTTTCAAATTTTGTCATTTCTCTTTCGAAACACCTTTTCTTTTCCTTTTTTTTTTCTTTTTTTAAAAATTTTTCGTTTTTTTTTCTCTTTTTGTTTTTTTTTTATTTTTTCTTGGTTTTTTTTCCAAAACCGAAAAATTATTATTATTTTTTTTTTATTAAATAACTTGTATTATTTTTTTTGATCTTTCATTATTTTTCCCCAATTTTTTTTTTCTTTTTCTTTTCAAGTTTTTTTTTTTTTTTCTTTCCTTTTCCTTTTCGGTTCCCAATTTTTCTTTTTGCCCCTCCTCACAATTTTTTTTTTCAGTTTTTTCGAATTCTTTAAACCTTTTTCTTTTTTCAGGTTGGCTTTGGCTTTTTTTCTAATCTGAAAAAATTTTTTCACCTTTCTTTTTTCGGGTTGGCATTTTTTTTTAAACCGAATTTTTCACCATTAGGTTTGGATCGGGTGATCAGATCGGTGCTGCAGGCAACAGTAAGCACCTTTTTTTTGTTTCTTTTTTTCTTAGCTGTTAGGATTTTTTTTTTTACTAATACTTTTTACCCTTAATGTTTTTTTTTTATTAACGAAAACTTTATTAGTACTGAACCAATTACATTGTAATCAAACCCATATTCACCATATATACATATAGTATGTCAACAAAGTTCTATTAAATTTATACTAAATAAGATCTAGCTAATATGAAACTTGTAATTACTAAAATTATTTTATATAAATTTCATTTCCAGTCCTATTCCGAACTTTAAAAAAAAATTTTTTCAACCCATTTTTTTTTATTTGTTTTTTTTAAACAAATTTTTTTTGTTCTTTCAAGTAATATAATCAAATAAATGATTTTTTTTATTTGAAAAAACATGTTTTGCATGATTTTTTAGTTAGGATAAATAAATATTTTTATTTAGTAAAAATAAAATTAGTTAAATTGAAAATTAATAAATTATAATGTTTAAATTACAAAATGATTAGTATAATATTTTTTTAATATTGTTTATTTTTTTTATTAATAAAAAGTTATATATTTAGTTTCCTCTTTTAAATAGTTCTTACTACAACGAAATAAAATCAAATGGCAGCTCCCCTGCTAATAAGTCAATTTCTTGTTAATTTACTAAATTTTTAATAAAAAATCTTTTAGGATAATGTAGTGTAAACCCACGCATAATCACTATCGCAAAAGCTTTGATTACAATGCTATATGTTATTATAATTGATGATATACTGTAAATATTGAATGTTTAAATCTTTAATGTTGCAACGAAAAAAAAGTACTTTCTTTTATTTTACATTTTTAAATATAGCAAGTGATTAACTACAATATAAAATTAATAGTGTTATGCAATATCAGTGCAATTAATTATAAACTAGTTAATAGCGAAACAAACCTATTTTCCTATTTTTCTTTTGATACTTTTTCTTATAATATTTATCCTTTTTCCTACGTCCTTTTTTATTATATTTTGCAAGAATTTTAGCATAAACTTGTTGTGCTAAAAGGTACACTCTTTCCTTAACATAATTTTCTCGTTTTTCTATAATTGTTTGTTCTTTTATATCAACAAACTTATCATGTAAAATTGAGAAATTTTTAATTTGTTTATCAATATCTGCAAGAGGTACCCTATTGCCTATCATATTATTTATAAAAACAAATCTATTACATTGAGCTAAAAAATTATCAAATTGATCATTAATATTTTCAAAAAGTCTTGGAGGTTCATATTTTGATTCAATAAGTATATAATTAGAAATTTCCAAATATTTGTTTTTAATACCATTACTTTTAGGAAACTTATGATCTGGTTCAGAAATAATCTGACAAGAACCATTTACTTGTCGATTATTAAAGGATAATTTATCAGGAATTTCATAATTTATAAAATCATTAGTTAAACTTTCATGATTTTTAGAACCACTTGCAGGAGTTTCAGAGTTTAAAGGACTATTAGCGTGAGTTTCATATTTTATAGATACACCGCAATTATTGCCAGTAGGAGTTCTTAGAAAATTTTCAGGAGGTTTAAATTTTCTAAAACCGCTGACTTGATCTTGTTTTCTCGAACTAGTGCTTCCATTTTGTTCTTGATTATCATAGGAAAATTTATCTTCATCAATACTGACAAGATTTTCATATTTTCTAGTATACTCTTTTAAAAAGTTGGAAAGTCCATTAAATTGGTGGTTCATTTTTTTTTCTACGTATTGAGTCGTCAAAAAGTCGATGTATATATTTGATATCATGTTGTACAATAAATTATTTACGCTGATTACGCCAATTACGTGATTAGTCTGATTTCGGTGATTATTACTCATTACTTATTGATTGCTAGTCCCGTGATGTAACAATTATGTGATTTAATATGTAATTTGATTATAGGAACGCGAAGTATATTTTTTTTTCGTTCTGCCTGTCTAAATTATTAATATAAAACTGAAGCAATAAATTATCAACGTTAACCTTTTCTTCACGACACAAATAAAGGTTATAATTATCGGAAAATTTGGACACTTACCATAAAGGTTAAAATAAAATAAAATATACAAATCGCGTCTCATACAAACAAACCAGATTTACTTTAAGCGGACCTTGATATTATGCACATGCGCAAAATTTTATGCATGATCATATGATCAATAATCATGAGCCAGTCATTTCTTCATGACGCGATTTTTGATTTTTTTATACTCTGACTATAGCAAACTCCGTGGAAAAAAAAACTTTTGCATGACATTTTAAATTTATATAAGATGCCTCTCCATCCGAAAATTTTTTTTAAAAAAAATTCCATCCTTCTCTTCTCCCTCTTTCCAGTATTACACCCATAGTAACCTATCTTTTTATTTCTACATCGTAGTTTTCTTATCCTTTTGGCGTTTCAAACACTACGCAAAGCCACGAAAGATATTTTTCAAAGTTTCTCTCTTAAAAATTATTTTATTTTTATTTAACTTTATTTTGTTTATATATAAGATACCTCACTCACACACTTTAGTGTGGTATAAGCCTTGCTATAAGTAAACTCGTTCTTAGTATGATGTATGGGTGGAAGTAAAAGGAGGTAAGAGACCTGTTCCTTACTGTTAACACACGCGTCATCTCAGGATACCGAATCATTATAATTTAATGGTTAAATTATAATGAGGGTGCCGCAAAATCTTCTCTTACACGGCAGGACCATGATAAGGATCCTCATACGCATACTTTATTGGAGGTTGGAGGAAAGTATGTTAAGTGGGGGTGGTTGTATCTGATTGGCGGTCCCTAATAAGGGTGACGTTAAATTCCTTAATTCCTATTCATTTTCTTGATAAACTATTTTATGAATTTCCTTTTGCTAATTAATCGTTACAGTGATCCGTGTTACTCATACATCGGTGCTCTTTAATTTTATAGGTATTCTCAGTCAATTTCAGATCAATAATATGATTGATAAGTCAATAATTTTATTATATTTTAATTTTATTTATTGTTTCTGAAAGCACACAGTTTCAGCATTTTTAGCAAAAGATGTACAGTATATTAATAAAATTGCTAGAGAAAATTTGCTTTGTTCAAGATTCTAAATAAATATACAAAAATAATTTGATAAGTATACTTGATATAATCACTTGAATTTTTATATAAATAAATTAAATCGTATAGTCCAAATTATAAATAATTTCTACTATGTTATGAATATAACTCAATATTTTGAGTAATAATTTCATTCTAAAACTAAAATCAGATAAACTTAGTAAAATGTAAAATTAAACAATTAAATCGAAAAATATTTTATACAGTTAAATTATATTTGGTCGTACTGTACCATTTCCAACACAAATACATTATCACGAGTATATAGTAAATTAGTACTGTACGGTAATACAAATTAGTACGGACGTTCAAAAAAAAAATTTTAATTTTTCCGTACTCAGACGGACCTTTAAAAATAAATTTGATTTTTTCGTACTAATATTTTACATTGTAACATCATGTGATCAAATTTTTGAGATGAATATGTTGTACACAATATTTGAGTAATATAATAATTGTGTAATGATCAATCTGATTAATTTATGAATTTATATAATGATTTTAACGTTCTATCATCGTAAATATCTCTTTTAATTTTTTACTTCTTTGCCACATAATACCAAAAATTATATTTTGTAAATGCTAAATATGGTTGTCTAATTTATATATAAAAATATGATAAAGAATTGAAAAAATTAATTATAAATAAACTAATAAAATTTATTTATTATTTTAATGGCCAGTTTTATTATTATGGAGCTGAATATATTAAAGGAATGAAAATTTATTAGCTTATCTTCAAAGAATTTTTTTAATTTTATAATTTAACATTTAATTTTATAAGATATTTTGTTAAAAACAATATGTCAAAGTTGCACAAAAATACAAAAATGCAAAGTCGTACGATTGTACGAAAACTTAAATTAGTACGAAAATTTTAAAACTTTCGTACGTACTAGTACAAAAAAATTGATTAGCTGTAAATGTACGTACGAACAAAAAAAACACACGTACGTACCAAGTTGCGTTAGCGTACTGTCATATTTTACTCAATACCTCTTCTGAGTATCGTACGTACTAGTACAAAAAAATTGATTAGCTGTAAATGTACGTACGAACAAAAAAAACACACGTACGTACCAAGTTGCGTTAGCGTACAGTCATATTTTACTCAATACCTCATTATCACTCAAGTACTTTCTGGATCAAATCGTCCCCATCAAGTTGATCGTTCTAATAAATATGATGTTTTTATGAAAAGAACACTTTTTTTTGCATTAAAACCTTTTTTTTTAAAAAAAAAAAGTATGAATATTTCTCTTTTTTTTAAATATGGTAAAAAAAGGGTCTTTACATAGTATAAAAAATTTCACTAATTTTTCGCATGTAAAATAATCTTGTTTCTCTTATTAGGTGTATAATGACCGACACAACCAAAGTTTCCTAGGGATACAGACATTTGAAACTTTATGGTTATTAATATAGGAAATATAGGCGTTATCTGTCTCGAATGAGTCTAAAGCCTGTAGGTTGCTCAATACTTTATATGTGTCTTTTTAACAAAATATTTAATAAATTAATAAATATATCATGTACTGTACATAATATGTAACAATCTCTTAACAAGATGATCATTGAGAACGGAAATCTTGATTTTTAATTTAATAATGTTAATTTTAATTTTATTTCTATTTTTATTTTACATTAATTAAGTATTAAGCTTAGTCCCGGGCCCCAAAGTAGAAATTCTGGAATTGTAGTTGTAGAAGCTCTTGCTTGATAGATTAATAACCTAATATAAATTAAATAAAAAAGATTAACATACAAATAAATATCTTAAAAATTTATAAATTATTTTTATCAAAATTACTTTTTTACCAGATTTGCATGCCACAAACAAGTTTTTTTGAAGGCTGTTGTAAGGAAAGGTACCATAATTGAAACCTCATTCGGAATCAATAGACCTTATATCAAGTCCAACAAGAAAGGCTTGAAGTAACAAGAAATACTGGTAAAATAACTATAATACATTTCTAACTACTGTGCTCGGAGACGTATTCGTGTAAACTTTACTGATACTCTTTCAAGTAATTGTCGGCAATACGATCCTTATCTCCAGAACCTTACATAATAAAATAAATAAAAAACTTTTCTGTAACAATAATAAAATAAATGTATTTAAAAATTACAAAATACTTAGCTTATGAATGATATTTTCTTATTAAACAATTATACAGGTTTCATAAAAGAGATTTTCATAAAAGAGAGAGTGAAGAAAAATTTTCGCGTATTAATCGTGAGAAAAAAAATTTATCCACATGATTCACATGACTATCAATATTGACTATTACCTTGTTATAATTGTTTATATAATCAGCTAGGCACAAAAATATGAGTACCGTAAATCACAGTTCACGAAATATATATATATATTTTTTTTCTGATATATATAAACTAGTGCTCCGCAAAATTCGGGTCTAACCCGGATAATTCAATCCGAGTAAATTTTAAATCGGGTCGGTACTAACAATTTTAATAACCCGTGACCCGCATGACCCGACCCGTCAGGTCGGGTCATTCATTTCCTTGACTCGAGTTTTGACCCGAATTAGACCCGGATGATCATTAAAATCACTGATCACATATCGATTACGCATTAATATTGATTACGTTATATAATTT